GTAAACCAACTAGGACATAAACTGTAAACCGGCTGTTTTAAGTGTAAAGTTGAATAGAAAATACTCAACTAAAAGAAGAAGTACCTGGAGTACAGTACGTGACTACATGTACTTTCCAGTATTATTCAGTTTAACTCTGAACTGACTTACTTCTCCTTCCAGGATCCATTTTGGCCTGATCTCCAGTAACCAGATGTTGTTGACTGTCATCGACGAGCTGCGGACGAACACTCTCTCAAAAGTTCGGGAAATCAGAGTAAGCAACATCTGGAGAAAAAAAAAAAAAGTATTTGTCATCTTGACCTTTCTTTTCTTTTTTTCCTCACCACGTTTTCTTTCTGTGTCTCAGGACATGATGGGCTTCAACAGCGCCGCCCTGCAGTTCCTCCAGAGGGAGATCGAGAGCAAAGAGGACGTCATGTTCTTCGCGGATGCCACAGGGCAGCTGAAGGAGAAGAAGAAGAAGAGGAGGAAGAGGGAGAGAGCCATCCTCACCATCGCTTGAATCCTAATGGACATTCTTTAGTTTGTGTATCCGCTCCCGTCTCCCCCCTGCTGTTTCCCAGGCCCGGACCAGTTTACTCTGTGGTTTTTGTTATGAATGGATGTTGCTCTGTGGTTTTCACTGACATGCTTCATCTCCCAAATAAACTGTGTCTGAATTTTTCTCACGGTACTTCAGGTGTGTCGGGGGCTTTTAAAACAAGTAAATGCTCGATGGCAGAGAGAAATGTTGAGCGTGTGCAGCTGCACGTCTTTACACAAAATACATCCTCATACTGTTAACTTTTAATACATGTCAGGCTTAAAGCAGCAGCGGTGATCACCTCACACGGAGGACAGGTATGATTTAAGCTAGTTTCGGTCCCACAGGCCTAAAGGGAGCAATTGAGGCCCGGAGCCAAACCAGGCTGAGGATGGTTTGGACACGGTGGGGGGGGGGTTTGAACGCTGTCAGAGACGGCCTGAGCTCCAGACCACCTGGGAGCGACCGAACTGTCCCACAGTGAAAAACTCCCTTGGAGCCTGTTGGTCTCGCTGCTGCAGCCGTCCACCGCTGGACTCAGGGAGATGTGGCTCGACTTTACAGCCGCTGTAACTTTGCCTGAATTTATTGCCCCGGGGCCGGTAGATGTGGTGAACATATTTCATAACGGGAGCAGAAAATCTTGGCTTTCAGTTTTCAGCTGCGTGTTTGCTCGTGGATGAATGTGAGCGTTCTCGCGACCTTTAGAAAAGTTTCACACCCACATCAGACACTTCATTTTCCGACTGTGTTTATTTCCTGACTGGGGCGCAGTGGAATAATGAAATGAAGAAATAAAAACACCTCTCGCTCACTGTTCGTGTTTTAATCTCACGGTGGACAAGAAACAAATTAACTCAGTATTTACAGGGCCGTAAAAGAAACGGAGGGAGGAGGCAGCGGCTCTTTACGGGGCTGGATTTAGTCTTGAGGCCGTAAATGTCACACCTACCAAAATTAAAAATTCTTCAGGAAAATACCAAACCACACTAACACACACACTCTTTAACAAACTGACACAGTGTCGGCAGTTGAAATGAATCACCACTAACTGGGTTTAAAAGAGGAAAAACCTCCAACAAGTTAAGTCTGAATAAATGTTTGTTTCACACGTTTGTCTGAATTGGGGCGAGAGGAGGAGCTCACTCAGGTCGTCAGCGTATCACAGGGTCGACATACAGAGACTCAAACATTCACCCGCAGGGAACATACAAACTCCACACAGATAGACCAGGCCGGGAATCAAACCGGGAACCTTTTGGCTGTGAGGTGAAAGTGCTACTCAGTCGTGAAGTGAAACAACCACGCACAACTGCACATCACCCAAAGTTTGAAATATCAGTTAATTCAAAGCATCAATTTATTGTAAAAATTAAAAATTATGATTAAGATTCTTTCAAATAAACTGAACAAACAATATTCAATGACATTTAAAAAAAAAATTTTGTTTAAATATGCTTCAACTGACTTTATGAAGTTTTTGTGTAAAGAGGGTCTCAATGAATAACTTCAGTTGGCAAAACACAACATTTTAAGTTTGGACCAAGTTTTTAACGAGGTCAACAGAACAATTCTAAAATGTTTTTGTTTCTTGGAAAGAGAATTTACAAAAAAACAGCCTCTTCAGGACTTCGAATGTGTCGTGTACCATTGAGCCACCAGATGGGAGTCTTGCCTTTCGTTAAACTTGTCTCAACATCGTCCCCTTTGGTGTCTGACCCATGTGCTGCTCCATGTTCGGAGCTCGGAGGCCTCTCACCACCTGCTGCAGAGCTCAGGCCTTAATGGTGGAGAGGTGGACACGGTCCAGCCCTGACAGACACAGGTCAGAGACACTCAGTCACCTCCTCACAGATCCACACTCTCAGTGCTGATGTCTCTGAGCCAGAGGACTCGTCCTCCTGCAGACGACATCTGCTGGTTCCAGAAAATCCCTCAGTTTAAATCTGTGAAGACGCTGCACTCCTCCTCACATTCTTTATATTTATTCACAGCAGCCATTACTGCTCATGATACTAATCTATATAATCTTACTCTGTTTAGTCCAAACAAACAGGACATGTTAAACACATCACTTCCCCCACGACAGATGATTTCTTCCCTGGAGGCAGCGACGAGGCCTCGGTGCCTTGAATGTGCTGTTGCCTCAACCACACGGTGTAATGTGTTATTTTACAGCCGGTATTTGCATTACACTTTGACAGACAGGAGATAGTATTACTTTATGTGGTCTGCACTGCTATAGTCTGTCATCATATGGTCTGCATGACATTATATACTGCAGGATACCATCAAGTCGGAGCTGCTGACTTGATTTGGTGGTGTCTATAGCCGGTGAATACGATACGAGCTATAAATGTGTATGACCCATTCTTGAGATGATGCTGTTGGCAGTGACGGGCGTCCTGTTACAACAAGAACAGTTTGCACAGCAACTCAAACTGCGTGGCCGGTGTGGAGTGATAGACAAACAGAAAACACGTCCTTTTATTTACTTTTAATGGGAAACATCCAGGCTCCGAATGTTTTTAACGTTTACTCAATTTCAAGTGTAAATGAATTTAAACATGAATTATCCCCAGGAAATGTTTTTTGAAAGTTAATTTAGTTACTGTATTTAAACACATTTCTCATGCGTCTCTTTTTTACTTAAGTAGTTTTACTTTTACTCTTTTACATATATCAGCAATAAAACTTTCTCTCCCACTATATTTTAACAAGTCAATATTTCCCCTTTTTCTCAAAGCAAAAAATAATTAGAGCAGAGTTCTGATCCAATCAGAGCGAGCAGGTAATGTGAGAACCCGCCTCCTGCACTGAGCACAGTTAATGATGTAGTTGACCGCTGCATTAGGGAACAGGCTACTCTCTGCATATACTTTTACTATTAATAATTCAAGTATATATTAAAAGAAGCACTTTTTTACTTTTACTCTTTAGTTTATTTTGTCTCAAGTCAAATGTTTCAGTCTATCTTCCACCAAAGATTGAATCTCCTGCATCTTAAAATACTATTTCTTCCTCTTTGAATAATATTTAAAAACAACAAACTCCTCTTTTCTTTCACCGTGCATTTAATAAAAAGAAAAATCAAACTATACATTTATAAAATGTATTAAAGCTGCAGACAGAGAAGTTAGAAAGTTTTCTGAGATGGATTAAACACGTTATTTTGCTCTTCTCAGTTTGTGGACAATAAGTAAAAATATGGAAGATCACCAGACTTCTGCTTTAAAAGCTTCTCAAAAGTTTAAGGGCAATAGTCCTTTAATTATTCTAATTTTGTGCATTTACCAGGTAATTACCGATGTGTCTGTGAAGTCAAATGTCAAACATTTCTGCAGCTTTTTGAAAAATGGCACTTTGGTCAAATTCCTTTTTGTTGGTATTTTACTGCCATTCCTTCCTAATTCCCGTACAGGAATTAAAACTAAATTTCCAGCTCTGCCTGGAAAATGACGCTGTGTCTAAACATTTTGATGCACTTGAATTTCTCATGCTTTACTTCATCTCAGCTGATGAATCTTCCCATAGAACAACGTGTTTATTCGAACTCTTGCCAGCTCCTAAAAATAGGACTGTGAGCAGCACATTTCGGTTCAATGACCTCAGCGTCTTCAAAATGGCGTCCAGTCAGACCGACAGACAGGCCGTCCATCAGCCTGCCAGGTTACCAGTCATCCCACCGACGGGCCTCGTGTTAAATCTGTGTCCAGCACTCATGAATGAGCCCATACCTTCGCTGAGATATGAGGTGACGGGTCATTCTGATGAGACGCAGTCGTTCTGTGACGGCCTCGGCTGCAGGGCGGAGGCCGCAGGGCGTCCAGGCGGCCCAGTGACTGATGAGGTGACGGTGCACGCAGAGGAGGCCAACAGAACCGACTGGCCACTGACTGAACTCGGCTGAACTGCAGAGCTGCACACAAACAGCCATGAATGTTTCCTTTCTCTGCGCTCTGCCTCTTTTTCTCCATCCCTCAGCTGTCCTCGGACTTCTTCACACCTCATTCTGTGATGTTTGTTTGTGTGATCGCTCCCTCACGTCTGATTTCTTCATATATTGGCTCAAAGTGTAGGTTCACCAAGATGAAGAAATGCTGCACATTTTAGTTTTTGGACCTTGAATTTGACTAAAATGCTCATTTTGCAGAGATTTTGCATTTTCATTATTTTACATCTGAAAAATGTTCAAATCTGGGTCGAATCCAAGATTTTTCAAAGGTGTTTTTTACGTGAAATATTCTCAGAAGTGAAGTTGATCTAACAATAAATCAAAAAATGTATTCAATAAAATAATTGCTGTTACTTTCCATGTCAAAAGCATAAAGGTGCCGTTGCCTGGAAGAGCTTTAAGTCTTAAAGTCGATGCAACAATAAATCAATCAGTTTAATCAATAAAATGATTTTTATCTCTTCTTGTACAACAGTTAGTTTCTCTGTCAGAATTTTAGAGGGTGCCGTTGGCTGCACGTGTTGAGGGGGTCAGCAGCTCACCTCCTCTCATCTGAGCGGAAGAGGGAAACATGTTTTAATAACCAGGGTCTGCAGAGATCAGGGGAGAGGAAACCATTTTTTTCCTCCCGCCCTGCACCGGGGTCAGCCCTCTGTGGGTTGTTATGAAGCCACACACACACACACACACACACACACATGCAAAACGCACATAGCCGGCTCGTAATTCTGCAGCACACACTCGGGCAGAGACTTAAAACCAAGCAAATGCACTCTAGACTTGTGTAAAACACAGAGAAATATTCACTTTAGGCACGAGACGGCCAAGAGAGCACAAACACATTAGGCATATTAAGCCTGCAGACAGACACACACACACGCACACACACACACACACACACCACCACCAATACCCCCTTTAAGAGCTCTCCCCAGAAATCCACATAGCTGATGTAATTAGTGATTTTAGAGCTCTGCACTTCATATTACAAGTCATAAACAGACATTCAATACTGGGCTTTGAGAGCGCTGTTTATTCTGGAGTTTTATAGTCCACGCAGGACCCTTCTGTGTTTATTCTCTGAGAACAATAATGCCACTATGCTCCCGGGTTGGAATGCTCCTCATTTGTCCAATTAAACACCGAAAATAAATAGAAAAATTGAGCCGTCTTGTTCTGGGCCACGGTTTCTGCT